AGGCCCTCCTTTGTCAGTCATCAGTCAGACAACCTCTCATGGACATTGCCACAGGCCAGTGTGATGGAGACAGTTCTTCAGTTCAGGTCCCCTCCTCCTAGATGACTCTAGATTGTTGATAATGAAAACTAACCAGGACATTGGTACATGCCTGTGATCCCAACACTGAGGCAAGAGGAGCAGAGTTTCAACGTCATCCTCAGCTATATACTGAGCTCCATGCTAGTGTGGACTACTTCAGATTCTAGCTGAACACAAAACAAAAGGACACATACTAACTAAGACCAAGTCAGAGCTGACACACCTTTAGGCCCAGCACTCAGGAGGCAGAGGCAGGCAGATCTCTGTGAGTCTACATAGAGTTCCAGAACAGCTGTGGCTACAGGGAGACCGACCAAAAACGGGGCTGGACAGATGGCTCAGCAGTTAAGAGCACTAGCTGCTCTTGCAGAAGACCCATGTTTAATTCCCAGCACCCACATGGCAGCTAACAACTGTTCTTAACTCCAGTTCCAGGGGATCTGAAGCCTTCTTCTTTTTTAAAGCTCTTTTTTAATTTAATTTAATTTTTAAATTTTATTTATTATTTTTATTTTATGTGTATGTGTGTATTGCCTGCAAATAGGTAAGTGTACCCATATCATGCAATGCCCACAGAGGACAGAAGAGGCTGTTGGCTCCCCTGGAACTGGAGTTACGGACAGTTGTTAGCTGTCATGTGGGTGCTGGGATTCGAACCCGGGTCTTCTGCAAGAACAGTGTTCTTAACCGCTGAGCCATCTCTCCAGCCCCTGACACCCTCTTCTGACCTCTAAGGGCATTGTATGACACAGTTGCACTTATCACATTTAGTGGATTTCTGGTGAGTCTTCTATATCTTGTCTCCTGGGTGTGTGTTCTGTGCACATGAGTGTCCAAGTACACACTTGTGGACGAACATCATGTGTCTTCCTCTATTGCTGTCGCCCACCTTGTGGTTTTGTGGCAGGGTCTCTCACTGAACCTGAAGCTCCCCATTTCAGTTAGTCTGAGCCAATGAGCTCTCAATCCATGTTTCCGCTCCCCAGTGCTGAGGTTCCAGGCATGTACAGCCATGCCTGCTTGTTACATGGGTGCTGGGGATTCTAATTCAGGTCTTCATGCTTGCAAGGCAGCATCAATCATTTCAATATGGATTTTTTTTTTTTTTTTTTTTTTTTTTTTTTTTTTTTTTGTATTGTTTTTTTTTTTTTTTTTTTTTTTTTTTTTTTTTTGGTCTCTTTGAAGCAGGGTCTCCCTGCAGCCCCAGCTGTCCTGGAACTCACTATGTAGACCAGGCTGGCCTTGAACTCACAGAGATCCGCCTGCCTCTGCCTCCCAAGTGCTGGGACTACAGGCGTGCACCACCACGTCCGTCAATTCATGGAATTTTGTAGCCCAGTCTGTATGTGGGTATACACATGACTGCAGTGTCCACAGAGGCCAGAAGAGGGCAACAGATCTCCTGGGGCTTGAGTTGCAATGTTGTGAGCTGCTGTGCATATGTGCTGGGAACCTAATTCCAGACCTGGAAGAGCAGCAACACTTTTAACCATTGAGCCATCCCTCCAGAACAGTGTGCCCCTGACCCTTTGTTTGAGCCAGCTTCTTAAGTAGCCCAGGCTCTATGTAGCTGAGGCTGGCCTTGAACTTCTGATCCTCCTGTCTCTACTTTGCACTTGCCGGGATTATAAGTGTGCACCACCACATCACTAGTTAGTTTCTGCATGTGTGTGTGTGTGTGTGTGTGTATGTGTGTGTCTAGTCTGTGTATGGGTATTTTCTAAAACTGGGGAAGTTGTTTTGTTTTCTTTTTTAAATTTTTTTTTTAAGTGTATGAGTATATTGACTGCATGTGTGTCAGATCACCCATGTCACGCAAAGCCTGTGGCGGTCATAAGAGGGCGTCAGATTCCCTAGAACTGGAGTTATGGACAGTTAGTTGCCATTTGGGTGCTGGGAATTGAACCTGAGTCCTCTGCAATAGCAGCCAGTGATCCTACTGCTGAGCCATGTCTCCAGACCCTTGTTTTGTTTTGTTTTTTTGGTCTCTTTGAGACAGGGTCTCTCTGTAGCCCTAGCTGGCCTGGAACTCACTATGTTGTCCAGGCTGATCTCACAGAGGTCTGCCTGCCTCTTTCTCTCACATACTGGGATTAAAAGTGTGAACTGTTACTTCCTGGCTTAGGTTTTTTGTTTTGTTTTGTTTTGTTTTGTTTTTAACATTTAGTGTGTGTATATGTGCCATGTTTTTATTTTTTTAATTTTATTTATTATTTTTATTTTATGTGTATGCGTGTATTGCCTGCATGTAGGTAAGTGCACCCATGTCGAGCAATGCCCTCGGAGGACAGAAGAGGCTGTCAGATCCCTTGGAACTGGAGTTACAGACAGCTGCTAGCTGCCATGTAGGTGATGGAATTCGAACCCAGGTCTTCTGCAAGAACAGTCAGTGTTCTTAACTGCTGAGCCATCTCTCCACCCCCATATGTGCCATGTTTATGTGGAGCTCAGAGGACAACTTTGGAGAGTAAGTCCTCTCTTTCCACCATGTGGGTCCTGGGAATTGAACTCAGGTCATCAGGCTCAGCGGCAAGTGCCTTTATCTACTGAGTCATCTCACTGGCCTGCTCATTTCTTTATTAATATGCAGACAAGTTTGAAAAATAAATTATTCTTGTGTACATGTACCATGGACCACATGCGGAGGTCAGGGGACAACTTGTTGGAGTCAGTTCTCCCCTTCTATCATGCATGTCGCAGATATCCTACTGAGGTCATCAGGCTTGTCTGCAAGCTTTGTGGCCCTTAAAGGTTTTTATAGATGTATGCTAATTATTCAAATGTCACCATGACATTTTCACACACTTACACGTGCTGGTTTTTGTTTTTGTTTTTTTTGTCTTTTTGAGACAGGGTCTCCTTGTAGCCCCAGCTGGCTTGGAACTCACTATGTAGACCAGGCTGGCCTCGAACTCACAGAGATCTGTCTGCCTCTGCCTCCCGAGTGCTGGGATTAAAGGCATGCGCCACCACGCCCGGCTGTACACACACACACACACGCTGTATTTTTTAAAATATTTTATTTATTATTTTTATTTTATGTGTATGAGTGCATTGCCTGCATGTATGTGAGTGTACCCGTGTCGTGCAGTGCCTTGGAGGTCAGAAGAGGGCTTCGGATTTCCCTGGAACTGGAGTTAAGCACGGCTCATAGCCGCCATGTGAGCGCTGGGAATCAAACCTGAGTCCTCTGCAAGGGTAGTCAGCGCTCTTACCCACTGAGCCAGCTCTCCAGCCCCCACACAATGTGTTTTGATCGGACTCCTCCCTTCTCCCTCTCTTGTCCCTCCACTCCTGCTGACCCCTTCCTCTTCCCAGACAGCCTCCTTCTACTCTCCATTTTTTTTGTTTGTTTTGTTGTGCTTTGGTGAACCAATGAATTGAATTAGGATTAATTACATGAACACATGCCAGGCAAGAAGGTGAATGCCTTTAATCCCACCTTCCACTTAGGAAGCAGAAGCAGATAGATTTCTGTGAGATAGAGGTTAGCCTGGTCTGCATAGAAAGTTCCAGGCCAGGTGGGGATACAGGGAGATTCTGTCTCAAAAAGACCGAAAAAAACCTGAGTGTGGTGGCACATGCATTTAATCCCAGCACTCAGAAGGGAGAGGATCTCTGTGAGTTTGAGGCCATACTGGTCTACATAATGAGTTCCAGGCCAGCTGGGACCACAGGGAGACCGTGTCTCAAAAAGAAAAAAAAAAAGAAAAAAAAAATTATCATACCAATGCCAGTTTAAGAGAGCATCAACAGATCAACAACATCAAATTAGGGGTCACTGCATGGCAGAGGGAACCAGGGTGTGGAGTTTAGGGTTGTGAAATATTTACTGACCAAGCCTTGGGTCAGGGTATGTGTCAACGGAAAGGCCTGCCCGTGCGAGTCTGTGAAGGGAGGGGCCTGACTCCATGTGGCAATACCTGTTGCAGAAAACATGGGGGCAGATGGTGAAATCTTTTTTCCTTGGCCCACAGAGAGGAAATTATGGACTGTTCATTGATAGAAACTGAGGTGGAAAGGGAAATATAGCCATAAATTCATGAGACTCTTTTTTTAAAAAAATATTTTATTATTTTTATTTTATGTGTATGCGTGTATTGCCTGCATGTAGGTAAGTGTGCCCATGTCATGCAATGTCCATGGAGGACAGAAGAGGCCGTTGAATACCCTGGAACTGGAGTTATGGACAGTTGTTAGCTGCCATGTGGATGCTGGGATTTGAACCTGGGTCTTCTGCAAGAACAACCAGTGTTCTTAATCGCTGAGCCATCTCTTCAGCCCCCAATTCATGAGACTCTTGATCAATTTTTTTTTTTTTTTTTTTCTTGAGACAGGGTCTCCCTGGAGTTCACTAGGTAGACCAGGCTGGCCTTGATCTCACAGAGATCTGGCTTCCTCTGCCTCCTGAGTGCCAGGATTAAAGGTGTGTGGCACCCCTCCTGGCTAGATCTGTTTTTTATTGTGTGTGTGCATACATGTGTGTATCACAGTAGATGTATGGAGGTCAGAGGACAACTTGTAGAAGTCAGCTCTCTCATTTTACCATGTGGTGCTAGGAATCGAACTCAGGTTATCAGTCTTGGCAGCAAGCACTTTACGCTCTGAACCGTCTCTCCAGTCCAGAGAAGTTTTAATACTTTGTCCCTGTTCTTCATGGAATCTAGACTCTGCATTTGGCAAGCCAGATGTCTATGTTAACACATGATTGAGAAGCTTCTTCTTTGGATTTATTTGTTACATTCTTCCCTCTCTTTTTGGATTTGAAATTTTTTATCAGCTATGCTAGTATAATTTTCGGGAACTGACCTGTTGTGGTTGGAAGATCTTTATCACTCATTCTTTGGTTAGCAGAAAATGTGGCATGCTTTGCATTCTGGCTTAAAGGAACCCCCTATTCCCCTTTCCTTCTCTCACAGCAGAAGAGATGTGTAGCAGGAACGAGTTCCGGTGCCAGGACGGGAAATGTATTGCCAGGAAGTGGGTTTGTGATGGCAGAACTGAGTGCCCAGACGGCTCTGACGAGTTTCCAGAAACATGCGGTAAGTCCTTTTGCTTGTGTGAGGTGCTGGAGGGGGAAGTCAGGGCCTATATAAGCATTCTATCACTCAGCCATGCCCCGAGTCTCACAAGTTAGGAAGTGGAAAAGAAAATATTTTAAGTTGACCATTCCTAATCCAAATATTCCAAATCCAAACTATTTTGGGGGGTATAATGCTGAAAATGGACCCTCCCGTCCTTAACCTCATGCAGTGGCTGCAGTCATAGATTCACTAAAATTACTGCAGAAAATTATCTTCAGGGGTCAGCAAGATGGCTCAGCAGGTAAAGGTGCTTGTTTCCAACCCTGGGAACCTGAGTTTGATCCCTGGAATGCACACAGTAGAAGGGGAGAACTGATTCCTGCAGGTATTCCTCCAACCCCTGTATGTGTGCTATGTGGCATGCATGCCCAATCCCATTCTCCCATATACATGCATTATAAATGGATGTTAAAGAAAGGGAGAGTTGAGTGGCACTTACTTTTAATCCAGCAGAGGTGGGCAGATCTTTGTGAGATAGAGGCTAGCCTGGTCTACATAGTGAGTTCCAGTCCAGCTGAGGACCCTGGTTTTTTTTTGTTTTTTTTTTTTAAAGGCAAAAAAACGGGCACAGTGGCGCACGCCTTTAATCCCAGCACTCAGGAGGCAGAGGCAGGCAGATCTCTGCAAGTTCAAGGCCAGCCTGGTCTACATAGAGTTCCAGTCCAGCTGGGGTCTCAAAAAGACCAAAACAGAAAACAAACAAACAAACAAAAAAAAACAGGGTATAGATAGGTCTGGGTACTGATTGCTGCTCCCTTTGGGTGAAGGCTCCTCTTTTTCCCTAGTGTCTGTCACCTGCAAATCTGAGGAATTCAGCTGTGGGGGTCGTGTTAACCGCTGTATTTCTAAGTCCTGGCAATGTGATGGACAGACAGACTGTGAGAACGGCTCAGATGAACAAGACTGTGGTGAGTGGAGCCTGGACTCTGGGTGCTGCGTGTGCCAGGCTTATTCTGCACTAAAGAACTCCTCAGGGTCCTGCGTGCGAGTCCTCCCATGTCACTGCCTGGGGGACCCCCAAAAAGTGGTGTTCTGCCTGCTTCTTCCAAGCCCCCTCCACCCCTAAATCCCACTTTGGGGGACAAAGGGATGGGGCCTCCTATAGACATTGGTAATACTCATTGAGGCAGGGGGCATGGTGGCTATCGTTGAACATCCAATGAGGCTTCACAGCTCATCTGCGGGGATCCACTGTAAGGATCCACGGTACATGCCTGAAACAGGATATGCTACCAAACCCTGCACAGTATATGCTCTGCGGGTCTCCCCATTCTGCATACCTTCCTCCATAAGATAAAAGTGTCATTTATAAATGAGGTTCAGTGAGACACTCATGGCAGTTACTAATAGAATGAGGTAAGCTTTGGTGTTGAGCCTCTGCCTAGAATCCCCCAGTAAGGGGCTTGGGGTGTAGCTCAGTGGTAGAGTAAAAGCCTAGTGAGGGGCTGGGATTGTGGCTGGGAGGTAGAGGGCATGCCTAACACCCATGTGCATAAGCAAACTGAGATAGAGAAGGGGTTGTGCAGTTTCTTTGGCCCTTGTCCACTACCACCCCACTTCCCCAAGGGTCTGGTCACTGGACTTTGGCCTCTCTAAGGCTTAGTATCCTTGTGTACAGAATGGCTGCTGTTGGGTTGTAATGCCAAGTTCTCCCTGGGAGACCCGAGCATGTGCTCTCAACTCCCAGGTCGACGCTGTCCTTATGCCTGACTGACAAAACGGACACAGGCATTCTAAGATACAGTTTGGGGAATAAAAATATTTATTTGGGCTTGCCAACAAAGCTTCTGCTATCCGGGAGGTGATCACCTACAAAGGCATGGACGCCCGTGGGCCCTCTCCCTGCATCTCAGCTGAGCTTCCCACCAAAATAGCGACTTCTTCCGCTTCCGGCTTCCTCAGCGTCTGTCCTTAGAGCCTCCCCCTCATGTAATTGAAGCTGACCGATTGGGTGGGAGGATGACTGTCTCCTCCTCTGTCTACAGGGTCACTTAGGGTTCAGCCCTTCAGGGCTCCTCGTTGGTTCAGAGGATTCGCCCTCCAACATGGGTGTTGCGCTCCAGGGTGACAAACTGGTTCTTCTCCTTCCGATCTTGTAGCTCCCAAGACATGCTCCCAAGATGAATTCCGCTGTCAAGACAGCAGGTGCATTTCCCAAAAGTTCTTATGTGATGGGGACCAGGACTGCCTGGATGGCTCCGACGAGACCTCCTGCCCAGCTACCACCTGCGGCCCTGCCAAGTTCTACTGCGACTCCTCCTGCATCCCTAAGCTGTGGGTCTGTGATGGCGACCCGGACTGTGAGGATCATTCAGATGAGTGGCCACAGCACTGTGGAGGCCATGACACATCTGCACGCCATGGGGACAGTAGCCCCTGCTCCTCACTTGAGTTCCATTGCCATAGTGGAGAATGCATTCACATCAGCTGGGTCTGCGATGGTGGGGCTGACTGCAGGGACAAGTCGGATGAGGACAATTGCGGTATGGGACAACTGCAGTGTGGGTCAGGGGGGATTCAGGAAAGGGAGAGCTGTCAGTGCCCCATCTCCTAGGTGAGGGACTTGGGGTGCTTAGCAATATCAAATGGTTTAGAAAGCAAGTTGATTTTGGAGAGTAGGGGGCTACCTTAATGGGTAAAAGCACTTGCTTTGAAAGCACAAGGAATGAGTGCAAATCCCCAGCATCTGTAGCCAGCATCCCAGGGCTGTGGGGCCATAGACAGGCGATAGCTGGGGCTTGCACCAGTGGCTCCAGGTTCAGTGAGAGACCCTGTTTCAAAGTAATGTGGAGGAGAGAGCAGGACACCTACATCCCTCCTCTGATCTCTGGGAGCACACAGAGCACATACAGGCACCCCCCTACACACACCTCACATAAATAAAAAATTTTAAAATAAAGCAGTAATAAAGCCATGCATGGGGCACCACCTTTAATCCCAGCGCTTGGGAAAGCAGAAGCACGCAGATCTCTGAGGTTGAAGCCAGCCTGGTCTATACAGTGAGTTCTTGGCCAGCCCAGATTAGAGGCATTCTTTTAGTTATTCATTTTTTTTTTTGAGAAGTCATATGCATGGCATACATGTACAAGTCAGTGACAGTTTTCAGGAGGCTTCCTGTCCTCTTACCCTATGGGCACTCCAGTCTTCCTGTGTGGGGTCAAGATAGGAGAGTCCCCACAAACTCATGTCTCACACAAGGTGGATGATGACTCCCAAGGTGGTCATCCAAACTCCACATGCACACTAAGACTGATGCATACCCTGTCTTTCCGTCTCTGTCTCTCTCTCCATCTCTGTCTCTCCGTCTCTGTCTCTCTGTCTCTCTCCGTCTCTGTCTCTCTCTGTCTCTCTCTCTCTCTCTCTCTGTCTCTCTCTCTCTCTCTCTCTCTCTCCCACACACACACACACACATCATTTTAAGCAAACAGGAGATGTCTGTATTTCTTTTCCTCTGGGCTCCTCTCCTTGTGACACTCACCACCCTGTCCTCTCTAGCTGTGGCCACCTGCCGCCCTGATGAGTTCCAGTGTTCAGATGGTGCCTGCATCCACGGCAGTCGGCAGTGTGACCAGGAATACGACTGCAAGGACATGAGTGATGAGCTTGGCTGCATTAACGGTGAGCTTCAGGCCATTTTTTTTGTTTGTTTTTTTTTTTGTAAGTTTTTTGAGACAGGGTCTCACTATAGCCCCAACTTGCCTGGAACTCACTATGTAGACCAGGCTGACCTGGATCTCACAGAGCTCCACCTGCCTCTGTGACCAAGTGCTGGGATTAAAGACACATACAACTGACTGGCTCTCAATTAAAAAAAAAAAAAAAAACTATCTGCAGAAAAATACATATAAGATTACCATGTTATGGGCCTGAGGCAGTGGCTCAGTTGGTATGGCACTTGCATAGCATGCATGAAGTCCTGGGTTCCATCCCCAGGACCACATGGTTGGTCCAGCATGGTTATACAGGCCTATAGCCCCAGCACTGGGGAGGGGGAGGCTTGGAGGAGCAGGTCAAGGTCAACCTGGGCTACACAGTAAGTTTAAGAACACCTTGGAACACATGAGACCCTTCCTGGAAAAAAACAAAAAACAACTTGCTGTGTTAGTTTTTTGTTATTTTAAAAATATTTTATTTATGGGGTTTGGGGATTTAGCTCAGTGGTAGAGCACTTGCCTAACAAGCACAAAGCCCTGGATTCGATCCTCAACTCCAAAAAAAAAAAAAAAAATTATTTATGGGGCTGGAGAGATGGCTCAGCAGTTAAGAGCACTGACACTGACTGCTCTTGTAGAGGATCCGGGTTTCATTCCCAGCACACATATGCTGGCTAACAACCATCTGTAACTCCAGTTCCAGGGGAATCTGAAGCCTTTGTCTGACCTGCGCAGCCATTGCACAACATGGGTGCACTTACACACATGCAGGCAATACATTCATACACATAAAATAAAAATAATAAATAAAATATTTTTTAAAAATTTTGAGTATGTTGTCTGTGTGTATGTAAGTGCACCCCTGTCATGCAATGCCTTCAGAGGTCAGAAGAGAGTTCGAATCCTCTGGAACTGGAATTAGGACAGTTGTTAGCCACCATGTGGGTGCTGGGAATCAAACCCTTCAAACCTGGGTCCTCTGCAAGAGTAGTCAGTGCTCTTAACTGCTAAGCCAACTCTCCAGCCCTGGTAGTTATTTTTTTTAGTGTTGTGGATTGAACTCCAGTATGTTAGGCTAAGAGGTTTTTTTTTTTGTCTTTTTGAGACCGGGTCTCCCTGTAGCCCCAGCTGTCCTGGAACTGACTATGTAGACTAGGCTGGCCTCAAACTCACAAAGATCCGCCTGCCTCTGCCTCTCAAGTGCTGGGATTAAAGGTGTGTGCCACCATGCTCAGCTAAGAGTTACTTTTTAACTGCATAGACCAGTGGAATTAAAAAGGTCATTTTGCATTGGGCACCAGATGCGGTGGCACAAACCTTTAATCCCAGCACTGGGGAGATGGATCTCTTTGAGTTCAAGGCCAGCCTGGTCTATATAGCGAGTTCCAAGCCAGCTGGCCCTACTGGGAGACCCTGTCTCAAAAAAGACAAAAAAAAAAAAAAAAGGTCATGTTGCTGGGTGTGGGGGTCCTGTTTGTAATTCCATTACTGAGGTAGGAAGATCACAAATTGGGGCCAGCCTGGGCTATGCCTATTTTACAAACCTAAAATAACAAAAAAATTTACATGTCTGTACAACTGTCATTATGATCCATCTCCAAGACTTTTGATTCTGTGGAACTGAAAAAAACTCTGTCCCTGTTAAACATTAACCTCTTATCTTTGGGGCTAGAGATGGCTCAGCAGTTAAGAACACCGGTTGTACTTGCAGAAGTCCCGGGTTCGAATCCCAGCACCCACATAGCAGCTAACAACTGTCTGTAACGCCAGTTCCCAGGGATCTGACAGCCTCTTCTGTCCTCCTCGGGCATTGCATGACACAGGTTTACTTACCTACACGCAGGCAATTCAGGCATACACATAAAAATAATAAAATAAAACAAACAAACAAACAAAAACTTATCTTCCTGCCCAGGAGCTTGGCTCAGGGACAGAGCCCTTGCCCAGCCTGCATGAGACCCTATCCCAGCACTGAAAAACAACAAGAGATTATTTAAAGCCAGGCATGGTGGATTCTAGGCTAAGTCTACCACTGAGCTACTTCTTCAGCCCTTCACTGGGGAATTCTAGGCAGGGGCTCCAACACTGACTCAAGCCCCCAGCCCCCCACTGGCAGATATCTAGGCACGGGCTCTACAAATGAGCCATACCTCCAGCTCCTCACTAGAGAATTTTAGGTAGGGGCTTTTCCTCTGAGCCATGCCCCCAGCCCCTCACTGGGGGATTCTAGCCTGACCAATTTCTTTGCCTCTCTTAGTGACGCTGTGTGAGGGGCCAGACAAATTCAAGTGCCACAGTGGTGAATGCATCACCATGGACAAAGTATGCAACTCTGCCCGGGACTGCCGGGACTGGTCAGACGAACCCATCAAGGAGTGCAGTGAGTGCTGGTTGGTGGGGAGGGATCTGGGGATCACACTGATCTGTGGTCACTGCAGGCCAGTGAGCCCAGCAGGCTGTCCACAATATTTGAAAGGGTTGCAAAGACAATGCAATGGCATTTCATTACCAGTAGGGGGTACCAATGGCTCTAGAATGACTAGTCTCTGCCCCCTTCACATCCCATGTAGAAACCAATGAATGTTTGGACAACAATGGAGGATGTTCCCATATCTGTAACGACCTCAAAATCAGCTACCAGTGCTTGTGTCCCAATGGGTTCAGGCTGGTGGACCAGCACAAATGCCAAGGTGAGTCCTAGTAAGGACACTCTGCAGCCCTGAGCCACCTCTGCCTATTCCCATTGAACACTGTGTGCTCAGTGGGCAGGAGTGCCTAACCAATGCTCAGCCCTGTTTAGAGGGTTTCATGGGGCACAGGTAACCAGTGTTCACAAGTGAACACTATCCACAGGCCTGACTGGTGATCAGGAAGCACTTGGGTCTTTGGTGGCCCTGTCTTTTGGGGCTCATCCTTAAGAACTGAAGCTTAGCTAGGTGTGGTGGCACACGCCTTTAGTCACAGAACTTGGGAGGCGAGGCAGATCTCTGTGAGATTGAGGCCAGCCTGGCCTACATATTGAGGTCTAGACCAGGTAGGGCTACAGGGAACAGAACAGAACAAAAACAAAACAGATAAGAACAATAACAACAACAAAAACCAAGGTTCTAAGAGCTAGAGAACCTGCTTGGCAGTTAAGAGCACTGGCTGCTCTTGCAGAAGACTTAGGTTCTGTTCCCACCTCCTATTTGGTGGCTAATAACCACCTGTAACTCACCCAGTATGGTGGCACACGCCTTTAATCCCAGCACTTGGGAGGCAGAAGCAGGCAGATCTCTGTGAGTTCGAGGCCAGCCTGGTCTACATAGTGAGTTCCAGGACAGCTGGGGCTACAGGGAAACCCTGTCTCAAAAAGACAAAAAAAAAAAAAAACAACCACCTGTAACTCCAGTTCCAGAGATATGAAGCCCTCTTCTGGAGCCCTCTTCTGGCCTCTGTGGGCATTGCACACACAGGTGCACTTACATAGGTGCAGGTAAAACACTCATACACATAAAATTAAAACTAAATTGTGGAAAGATGGCTCAGCAGTTAAGAGTACTGACTGCTTTTGCAGAGGACCTGGGTTCGATTCCCAGCACCTACATTGCAGCTACAAACTGTCCTTAAGTCCACTTCCAGGGGAATCTGAAGCCCTTGACTGACTTCCGAGGCATTGCATGACATGGGTGCACTTACATACATTCAGACAATACACTCATACACATAAAATAAAACTAATAATAAAAATAAAATATTTTTTAAACAATTAAAACTAAGCCAAGTGGCACATGCCTTTAATCCCAGCACTTGGGAGGCAGAGGCAGGTGGATCCTCTGTGAGTTCGAGGCCAGCCTGGCCTACAGAGTGAGTTCCAGGCAGCTGGAGCTACAGGGAGACACTGTCTCAAAAAGACAAAAAAAAAATTAAAACAATTTAAATTTAAGAAAAGAGAGAGAAGTTTGTGTGGATGACCCTCGCTGTTATCTGACCCACAAGATCAGGGTTCTTCTAAGGATGACATACCTCAACTGTAGGCAGAGATAGGGTTTGCTTCTGAATTCTCCTGCCCCTCTCACAAGCCTGGAGGAAGACAGCTCCCCTAAAACAAAACCTTTTTCTGTTGCCACCCCTAGATATTGATGAGTGCCAGGAGCCGGACACCTGCAGCCAGCTGTGTGTGAACTTGGAGGGCAGCTATAAGTGCGAGTGTGAAGCGGGCTTCCAGATGGACCCCCGCACCCAGGCCTGCAAGGCCATAGGTGAGAACAGGGCCGGCGCGGTGGCCGGGAGGCTGAGGGCCGGCATCTCCTTTTTGGGTCTCTATTCTGTTAAGCATTTTGTTAGCTGAGGGTCACAGGTCTCCAGGCCTCTGGTTGGTGGGGCAGCAATGCAGTGAGGACCTGTGGACACTGGGCTGTGTCTATAAGTGTCCTGTATAAGTCACTGCAAGGATCCACCCCTGCAAATGGAAAGAGAGATGAGATCCTCTCCTTAAATCTGAAGTAGTAAGGAGATGAGAAGAGGTAGACAGCCCCATCCAGCTTTTCTTATTAACATAAAGAAAATTGCTACTATGGGGAGGTGGAGTCAGGTGGCTCCCTGGGACTGGCTGGCCAGTCAGCCTAGCAAAACTGTCAAGCCTCAGGTCTCAGGCCCCAGTGAGAGACCATCATTCAAAAAATAAGTTGTCGGGGGAGCATGGTGGCACACACCGAGACCCTGTCTCAAAAAAAAAAAAGACTAGGGGGCTGGAGAGATGGCTCAGCAGTTAAGAACACTGGCTGTTCTTGCAGAAGACCCAGGTTCGAATTCCAGCACCCACATGGCAGTTAGCAACTGTCCGTAACTCCAGTCCCAGGGGATCTGACAGCCTCTTCTGACCTCCACAGGCATTGCACGACATGGGTGCACTTACCTACATGCAGTCAATACATGTATACACATAAAAATAATAAATAAGCTTGGCGTGGTGGTGCACGCCTTTAATCCCAGCACTTGGGAGGCAGAGGCAGGTGGATCTCGATGAGTTCATGGCCAGCCTGGTCTACATAGGGAGTTCCAGGACAGCTGGGGCTACAGGGAGACTTTAAAAAAAAGACTAAAAAAACAGGTTGGGAGAGAAGGTTTGTGCATACCTGCATACACACACACACACACACATCATGCACACAATTAACAAAATTAATTAAAATACAAACAACTCGGGGCAGATGACTCAGTTGTTAAAAGCACTGGCTGCTCCTGTAGAGAACAGGGGCTCATTTCCCAGTACCCACATGGCAGCTAACAACCATTCAAAACTCCAGTTCCAAACTCCAGTTCCAGAGGATCTGACACCCTCTTCTGACCTCCATGGACATTGCACACATCTGGTGCACTACATGCAGCCAAAACGCTCATATAAATACAATAAAATAAATCTTAAAAATTAAGCTGATTAAATTAAGTCTTTAATCTCAGAACTTGGGAGGCAGAGGCAGGGGGTTCTCTGTGAGATCCAGGCCAGCCTGATCTACATAGTAAGTTCCAGGCCAGCTGGGGCTACAGGAAGACCCTGTTTCAAAAAGTGAAAATAAGCGGGTGTGGTGGCATATTCCTTTGATCCCAGCACTTGGGAGGTAGAGGCAGTGGATCTCTGTGAGTTCAAGTCTAGCCTGGTCTACAAAGTAAGTTCCAGGACAGCTGGGGCTATAGGGAGACCCTGCCTCAAAAAGACCAAATAAATAAATAAATAAATAAATAAATAAATAAATGAATAAATAAATGAATGAATGAATGAATGAAAGGTGGAGGCTCTTGAGGAACACCTAAGGTTTTCCTCTAGTGTATGCACAGACATACAAACACACATACACTCTGCCCTCTGTACTGCAAAAACTAAATAGCAGCAGATGGCTAATATTCCACAGGGGTATTTTCCTCTCTGTCATCCATACCCTGCAGAGTGACATGGGGGTACAGGGCTGGGGGTCTTCCTCTGTTCCCCAAGCACCCCTTTTGATTCTCCAGGTTCCATTGCCTACCTGCTGTTCACCAACCGCCATGAGGTACGAAAGATGACCCTGGACCGTAGTGAGTACACCAGCCTCATCCCCAACTTGAAGAGTGTGGTTGCCTTGGACACTGATGTGGCCACCAACAGAATCTACTGGTCAGATCTGTTGCAAAGGAAGATCTACAGGTGAACCTCAGTCTATCACCCCACCACAGCCCCATCTGGCCACCACTGCCCTGTCCCCAATTACAACCCTTGCCCCAGACTCTAATACACTTCCCTGACTCTCCCTCAGCGCCCAGATAGATGGAGCCCCCAGTTTACCCTATGACACAGTTATCGGTGGGAACCTCGAGGCTCCAGATGGGCTGGCAGTGGACTGGATCCATGGAAACATCTACTGGACTGATTCTGTCCTGGGCAGTGTGTCTGTGGCTGACACCAAGGGTGTGAAGAGGAGGATGCTGTTCCAAGAGGAAGGTTCCAAGCCCAGGGCCATTGTGGCCGACCCTATGCATGGGTTAGTGTTTATAAAGATCACGGGTATGGGGATGGGGGCAGGGGAATCCAGAGCTGGACTTAGGAAATATGTGTACCCAAGTTAGGGTGTCATGCTGAGCACAGAAAGGACAGGAAAGCAGGGATTGGTCAGTGAAGAGAAACAGGAAGGGGACGTGACGGCTAATGCCGGAATCCCTAGCAGTGAGGAGGCTGAGACAGACAGATTGCTGCAATTCTAGGGTAACTTGGGTTGCTGAGTATGATCATGTCTCAAAAAATTGAGATAGAGGGTCTGGAGAGATGGCTCGCTGTTAAGAGCACTGACTGCTCTTGCAGAGGACCGGGGTTTGATTCCCAGGACCCACATGGTAGCTAACAACCGTCTATAACTCCAGTTCCAGGGAATCAGAAGCCCTCTTCTGACCATGGGCATTGTACGACATGGGTGCACTTACACACATGCATGCAATACATTCATGCACATAAAATAAAAATAATAAATAAAATATTTTTTAAAAAATTGAAATAGGGCCTGGAGAGCTGGCTCAGCAGTTCAGAGCACTGGCTACCATTTCAGAGAATCCCTGGTTCAGTTCTCAGCACCCACATGGTAGCTAACAACTGTCCTTAACTCTATCCAATGCCCACTTCTGGCCTCCACGCATTGCACACACGATTCACTTACATACTTGCAGACAAAATGCTCATACACGTAAGAATAAATTAATTAAAATAGGCATGATGGCACACTCCTTTAGTCCCAGCACTTGGCAGACAGAGGCAGACAGATCTCTGTGCAATCTAGTGAGTTCCAGGCCAGCTGGTGTTACAGAGAGACCCTGTTTCAAAACAAAACAAACAAAAAAGAAAACCAAAATAGGGGCTTCCAAGATGTCAGAGTGGGTAAACAAGTTTGCTGCCAAGCCTGATGACCTGAGTTCAACCCCAGGGATCCAGATGGTAAAAGGAAAGAGCTGACTGTTCTTGTAGAAGACCCAGGTTCAAATCCCAGCGCCCACATGGCAGCTAACAACTGTCCGTAACTCCAGTTCCAGGGGATCCAACAGTCTCTTCTGTCCTCCACGGGCATTGCACAACATGGGTGCACTTACCTACATGCAGGCAATACATACATACACATAAAAAAATTAATATTTTTTTAAAAAAGCTAAAGTATGTCACACACAAACAAAAACCGTGTGTGGTATGGCAGTGCATGCCTTTAATCCCAGCACTTGGGTGTCAGAGGCAGTCAGATCACCGTGCGTTCAAGGCCAGCTGGGGATACGGGGAGACCCTGTCTCAAAAAGACCAAAAGAAGCCGGGCGTGGTGCCGCAGGCCTTTAATCCCAGCACTCGGGAAGCAGAGGCAGGCAGATCTCTGTGAGTTCAAGGCCAGCCTGGTCTGCATAGTGAGTTCTAGGCCAGCTGGGGCTGCAGGGAGACCCTGTCTCAAAAAGATAAAAAAAAAAAAAAAAAAGATTAAAAAAAATTAAAAGTAAGATAAATAGGGGGCTGGAGAGATGGTTGAGTGGTTAAGAACACTGGCTGTTCTTACGGCAGAAGACCTGGTTTCCTGTGGAAACCCAGGCCACAAGAATTGAGCTACACAACTATAAGACAGACTGGAAATTCCTAGGCATACCCCTACTAAAATACAAATGGTAGTGTGCATGTGCTAATTATGGCGGTTGGTGCTCTTGCCACTGAGCTGTGGTCCCCAGCCTCATTAGAAGATTCTGAATTTCCAGTCATCACAGAAAGCCCAAGGTTACTGTCTCCAGTGGGGACCAATTCCAAATGGAGGCCCAGCTGTTTTAGACAAACTCTTACCTCTATTGTTTGCGGAAGCCTGACCCCTCTGAGTGACCTCGTCTCTCTTATGCCGTTCTCCTCCCCAGCTTCATGTACTGGACAGATTGGGGGATACCTGCTAAGATCAAAAAAGGGGGTCTGAATGGTGTGGATATCTACTCGTTGGTGACCGAAGACATCCAGTGGCCAAATGGCATCACGCTGGGTATGTCCGCGGCATGTTTTGTCACCATTGGGTTGGGCACTGTGTGGAGGACACAATACTACAGCACCGGGCTCCAAACAAGCTCATGCTTGAGAATTGGTAATACACAGCACCCCTTTTTCTGTAGCTGGAAGTCTCTGGAGGGGCAAAAGCTATAACCTGACCTTCAGGCTTGAACTTGGTTAGAGAAGTTCCCCCAAAGTTGCACTCTTTACCCCAAAGCTGCTATCACGGTGGAATTTTTCCAGCATGTTCTAGAATTTTCTAAAACATTCTGGAATTTTTAGGCTTACCAAATGATCTGTACATTCTAGACCTTTCTAGTGGCCGCCTCTATTGGGTGGACTCCAAACTCCATTCCATCTCCAGCATTGATGTCAATGGGGGACATCGGAAGACCATTTTAGAGGATGAGAAGCAGCTGGCCCACCCCTTCTCCTTGGCCATCTATGAGGTGAGACCTGGGAAGATGGGCAAATTTGGCTGTGCCAGACTCTCTCATCCATTCAAGCCCACACTGGCTCAGGAGACCACTCTTGTTTAGATATCTTGGGAGATGTGTTAGAACTGCAGTTATTTCCAAGAGCTAATTTTTAATTTATTTTATTTTATTTTATTTTTTGTTTTTTTGAGATAGGGTCTCCCTGTAGCCCCAGCTGGCCTGGAACTCACTATGTAGACCAGGCTGGCCTCAAACTCATAGAGAACTCACAGAGATCCATCCACTTGCCTCTGCCTCCTGACTGCTGAGACTAAAGGCATGTACCACCATACCCAGCTCATTTTTATTTTGTTTTGTTTTGGGGGGGTTATTTTTGGTTTGGTTTATTTATTTATTTTTTTTTAGTAATAGGGATGAAACCCAGAGTTCATGAGCTCATGCAGACACAGAAGGCAAAGATAGGAAAATCCCTGGGGCTTCCTGAACCACCAATTAGGCAAATCAGTGCTACAGGTTCAGTGAGAGACCCTGTCTGAAAAAGTAAAGTGGAAGAGCTGGAGAGCTGGCTTGGTGGTTAAGAGGTCTGGCTGCTCTTGCAGAGGACCCAGGTTCAGTTCCCAGCACCCACATGGCAGCTAACAACCATCTGTAATGCCAGTTCCAGGAGATCTGACACCCTCTTCTGGTCTCTGAGGGTATTGCACACACATGGTGCATCTACATACATTCAGGCAAAACACATTTTTTATATTATTTTTTATTTTTATATTTATTTGGTGCACCTGCATACACGCAAGCAAAGCACATTTTTTTTATTTT